TATATTTCACTAAAATAGCCAATTATTAAAAAAAAAACATAAAACCAGCGCATAAAAATCAAAAAATCAGGAAAAAATTAAAATTATTTTTAACATTAAATGCATTTCATCGTATAAATATTAATTTGAAACGCAATATTCATAAATAAAGCATAAAGAATTTGGAAAATATAAGCATTACGCATTGAAAATTCAGTATTAAAAAAATAAAATAAATATAATTTACACTGAAAAGAAAAAAGGATTAAGAAGTAAAATTTAATTGAACTTGATTTTAAATCAGATATTCAATTTAAAATTAATCGACTTCATATAATTGACCAGAATTGAAACTGAACTTGGAAATAGTTAAATTTATTTCACTTACAAATCCGAATTTAAATAATAGCTAAAATTTAATTTTAAACTAAAATTTTAAATTGAATGAAAAATTTTTGTTGAGTTATTTAAACTAAATTAAGATTTGAAAATTACTTGAAAACTGGAAACTGACTTAAATTTGAATTAAAAATTAAGTTTCATTTAATAACATTCAATAAAACTTTCAATTTGATTAATACAATTTCTTTAATTACCTCTTCATCCATTATACCTCCTTTTCAACAAAATAAGCAATTGAAATCAAATTTCAAATTGAAAAGTTTCAAATTAAAATTTAAGTTGAATTGAAAAGTTATGTTGAGTTATTTAAACTAAATTAAAATTTGAAAATTGCTTGAAAACCAGAAACAAACTTTAATTTAAATTAAAAATCAAAGTTTCACTTAATGCCATTCAATAAAAATTTTTAATTCGATTAATACAATTTCTTTAATTACCTCTTCATTCATTACACATCCTACTTCAATAAAATAGCCATCTATTAAAAGAAACATAAAACCAGGTCATCAAATTCTTGAAAATTTTAGTCTAATTTTGTTCTAAGAATCACCCTCTGATGCTCACAGAAATCTGATGACACACGCATTAGGTGACTGATTAATAGCAGCTATCACCATGACGCTTAGATTGGGCTACATGATTTGATCTCGCTTTCTTAATGACGTCTTCGAGGGTCGCTCTGACACATCTTCCACGTTTAGTGAGGAACTAATCAGCACATCGTCGATAAATGATACTAATCCAGCAACTTCTCCATTTTCCTTTTCAACGATGCTAATCAAGAAAATTTATGCAAAGTTTAAAAATAGTCTTAAGTCATTGTAACTTTACAATGTATATTTAATCGTATTTTTTATCAAAATGGAGTTTGGTATCATTTTCATAAAGTTTGAAATGTAGTTATTGAGAAGTAGTATTAATGTCATAATTTATTGGAAGAATTTAAAAACTTTTTGGCTAGAAATAATTGTGGTAATTATTTTAAGCATTATGAAAAATGCAACAAAAAAAAACTGATATTTCGTAAATAATGAAAAACCCTAATTTATTTTTTACTACTTTTTTAAAAAAAAGTTAAAATATCAAAATATCAATTTATATTTTACTTTACTAAAAGATTTCATTTTTCTGTGCGAGATTGTTCAAAGATTGATTTTCCCGGGATCATTCCACTTTTGGTTAGAAATAATTGCGTCTGAATTTTGAATAGTGTTTTCTTGCGCATTTTGGGAAATTTAATTTTAAAAAAATTATTGTAAATCAAGGGGATGAATGATTTATGCTTAATTTTTTAAAAAAATGACGATTGAATCGCAATTTTTTCCACTTAGTGCACAAGAATTACTAAGTTTTCTTACATGAATAACGAAAAAAATTGGTTTTGCCCGATAGTTACTACACATAGCTAATGTTCACTTTTAGAAGAGAACAGTTCCTGTCTACGCGTAGACAAGAGGAACAAGAAGAAGTATAGTGAAAAGGACGACGGAAAATGAATAAATATTGATTGGAGAGGAATTTTGAGGAAAAAACAGTTCCTGTCCAACCAAATTTTCCTCTTTTTTTCAATATCAAATATGATAAATTTTGTTTTCTAATTTTTAATAGATGTAAATAGAGGTTTGTGACATTTATGTACATGATTTTTTAACGATTTCAATTGAATATTTGCTCCTGAAAACTCTCAAACCTTGAAATCCTTTTTTTCCTAAGAATCAACATTTATGGACATTAACTGATAAAATATAATATAAAGTATATAGTAAATGAATAAAATATATTATATACTAAATACTAAATACTAAATACTAAAACGTATTTAAATAGTAAAGCATAAAGTTAAATAAAGCATAAAGGGGAGATATAAATCATTCCAATAAGCGTATAAAAAGAATTAATATTTCTCTTAAACAATTGCATGCATAAGTGAACAATACATAAATCTAAGAAAGCATAGGTCTCTTGTACTTAATTTTTTGTTTCATTTCAAACCTTATTTTTGTTTTAGATTTCAAACTGCAAAAGTAACGGATAATAAGATAGTTTGAAAAGAAAGCATGCTTGATTTAATTTTTTTATAAAAACAGAAAACTATTTTATTAATGATGTTTACAATTTTTATCTTTTTTAAAATACAATTTCACTTGTGTACTTTTAAATAATAACTTGAAATATCTGATAATTTGATAGTGTATTTAAGTAACAAAGGTTTGTGGTTTATATTGTAGCTTTGTAATTCATGATTTTGTAAATAAAGCAAGCATTTTTTGCTAGTTTAAAAAATTTCTCCTTGATTTAAGAGATATGTGTAACAATTGACAATCTAAGTGTTACAAACATTGACAATAACAAGCTAAAAATATTTCAGGACAATTGTTTCCTTTTTTTGTGAATTATAGGTATGAATTTTATTTTTTATGACTATTATCGATTTTTTTTTCATAATGGTTAAAGTAAAAAGAAATATTTACTTTTTTTTCTGTTTAATATTCATCCTTAAAGCCCAATTTTCCAAAAATTAGAGAAGTGAGTTGTAATCACGATAAATACCAATAATTTTAAATTCAATGCTATTACTATCAGAGTGCATGATGCATACATGATACGGACTTTCTACTTTTCCGAAATTTGAAATAAGAAGATGTAACAACTAAGTGGATATTATTTTCCTCTATATATATCAAAAGTTTTCTGCATTCAATAAAATTTATGGTTTTAGAAAATTGCAAAAATGTTGCAATTCACTTATGAGAATACTTTGTTATACATTTTTAATCACCAAGTTCTACATCTTGAAACTAGATATGTCATTACATTTTGTGTTTATTTAAGTTTGTATTTTTACTAAAATGAATAAACTACGGAATTAAAGACATTAATACTAAAGGAAGAGTTTTAAAGTAATACATCATTGCTATTAAAATATACTCATTAGTGCTAAAATAAATGCACTGTGGAAAATGTAACAAAAGCTAAACATTGATTCATAAATAATGTTAAACATTAATTTATTTTTATACTAATTTTCTTAAAAATAATCACAACAACTAATGGATATTACAATGTAAATGGATACAATAAAATAGATATTATTTCTTTCTGTATATATATGAAGTTCTCTGTATTCAATAAAATTTAAAATTCTAAAAAATTCTAAAAATATTGAAATTTATTTCAATACTATGCTAAATATTTTTTAATAAACTTTTTTTTAAAAGAAAAAACTAGAGTTTTTTACATTTAAGTTTGCATTACTACAGAAATAAACTTAAAAACACTACAGAAATAAACTTAACAACTACAGAATAAAATTAGAAACATTCACAATTCGAAATTAAGCTTTTTAAACTAAAACATTATTGAGACTGAAATAAGAGTATTATAGCAAAGCATTATTACTTCTGAAATATGGTCATTACTATTAAAATAAATGCATCATGGGAAAGGCAACAATTCCAAGATACTTTTTTCTGAAAATAATGTTAAACATTAGTTTACTTATTTTTTTAAAAAAATTGCAACCACTAATGGATATTACAAAATAAATGGATACAACAAAATGAATATTAATTATTTTTGTATATATAAGAAATTTTCTGTATTTAATAAAATTTGAAATTCTATTAAATTCTATAAATATTGCAATTTACTACAATACCTTGCTAAACATTTTTTACGAAGACGTTTAAAAAAAAAAGAAAAGTAGATCTGGCCTTATATTCTGTGTTTATTACATTTTAATTTATATTACTGCTAAGATAAATAAACTACTTAAATAAATGTATTATAAGTACTAAAATAAGCGTATGATTTTAATACGCTAAATAGAAATTATTTCCTTCCTTGTATATCAGAAGTTTTCTGCATTTAATAAAACTTAAAATATTATAAAAATGCAAATATTTTGCAATTTTCGTAACAGAATACCTTATTATACTTTATTTTTAATTCACGAACTTTAATTGTTAAAAGCAGATCTGTCAAATTTAGCGTGTTACCTTTGCTTCTAAAAAGGCTACTAAATTTAAGCCATTTTAGTATTAAAATAAGCGTATTAAAATAATACATTATTGCTACTAAAATAAGCTTATTATTGTAATACATGGTTACGACCAAAATTTGTTTTACTAAAATAATTGTATTATATAAAATGTAAACAAAATGAAAGACTGATTTTTCTTTAAGTATGTTAAAAATTAACCTATTTTTTTACTCTTTAAAAATCGTAGTAAATACTAAATATTAATTTATAGTTAACTTTACTTAAAAATGGAATTCTCCCGTCAGAGGACATGCAAAACATTCAACTTTTTACATTTTTGAAAAAAAATTTCCTAGAGCTCTACGTAACTAATCTTCCATGCTCCATTAACCTTTAAATCCTAATTCGCATTATTTTACTAACAAATTATAAACTGCTTAATTTATTTAATTAAAGTTTATATTTACTTCAGATATGCTACGCCAGTTAATTATAGTTCATGAATGAGTATTTCACCCTTCATTAAACGCTAATTCCAATGAAACAAACTAAAGCAGGGCGAAATTCTTCTAAAACTTTCCAGAAATTTCCTTTAGAATAATAATCTTAACAAAAGCACTCCTTTTTCTCTTTCTAGTCCCTCCCAAGTCACTCGAGATCCAAAACCACGTGAACGGAAGTACTCTGGAAGTTCGAGAAGCCGAAAGAATAGCACTCACTTGCATAGCCAGGCACAGTAAACCAGCTGCAAAATTGAAGTGGTATCGAAACGGGGTTCTGTTGCAAGGAGGTATGTAGAAGAGCGAAGTAGTTAACAATTGAGAGTTCTGCTCCATGGTTTTCCTTGAGGAGTGTGAAGTGTTTGCTTAATGTTACAATTGGGGTTGGAAACGATTTAGCATTGCTCCGAGCGGAACGTTAAGCAAAATGGTTATGAGACAATAGATACATTTTAAACTGTTTTAGGAGTCTAAGAGTTTATTTAATGATAAAAGCTGGATATTTTACAAAGTAAATTTTGAAAGGGTGTAGTTTATAATTGCATTGAAAAATCCTGAAATATTATTTGTTTAATATGCATCTTAAAATTTATTAAAACATAACAGGGTATTTTTAAGAATAATAAATACCTAAAAAAGTTTGAAATACATAATTTTGATAACAGCATGAACAAAATCGAAATCTTCATAAAATTAACGAAAGCATAAAGAAAGTATATATTTTCTGTCGTTCAAAAATGTTGAAGAATTTTCTATTTCTTATAAGAAAAACCCCAGACATATTTGTATCAATTTCCTTAATATAATTTTCACTCACAGAGGGGATTTTGTAGATCTGAAAGATGAGTATAAGTTTAGATCGAAACAGTGAATAGTATAGATAGTAAATTCTATGAAATTTTGATCAATAGAATCTATTAAGGAAATAAAATCTTTTTCAACATTATGAAATTAAGTTTAATATAAAAAAAATTTAAAAAAATAAAAAAATAATAATTTCTTCACTAAATATATTCAATAAACATAACATATTTGTTTAATTAAAATACATATTTAATGGCCAAAATAGAACACTTATATCCTGCAAACTACTTTATTTCAAATATCACTTTTGCTTAAAAAATTTTAAGTTTAATTTTAATATGTGTAATATATAATAATTTATAAGGTTAAGTTAATTTTATAGTTTTATACGTTACTACATAATACCTTTATAAAAATAACAATAAAAATATAGTTTGCATCTTATAAAGTTGCCCAATAGTTTTTTATATATATACATACGCTGATCGTCATTACTAATATTATAATGGTAGTTGAAGTATCATCATTAACTTTTGATAACACATAGCCAAACACAGAAGATTTCTGGTTAGTGACGCACAAAACAGCCAATCAAAATTGAGAACGCATGTATGTCAAAAGGTAATAATTTTTAATAATGCTGTCAAAAGATACAAAATACAAGCTGACCTCAAATAAAACTCAGAGGACTTCGAATCAAATAATTAAGAAAACTCTACTACTACGTTAATAAAAAGGAAGATTTATTAACTCAACAGCAAAATTATAACATCGCCATTCCAAAAAAATAAAAAATAAAAAAAAAAAATTAGAAAAAATCTCACACTTGTTACGTTAAGCTATAAAAAAGACCGAACGATTATTTATGCAAACGATTATACGATATATGGGTCATTCTCACAAAAACAGTCATTTTCATGTCCCCAGTATATTTTATGTTTGTTTTACAGCTTACGAAAAAAAAATTCAGGGAAAGTGTCCTTCAGAATGCAAGCTAACAAAAGAATAAAAATAAAATTATCAATTTTTATTTTTTATTTATTTTAGGTAATTAAAATATACCAATATGTCATTCCCTCACTTGTCCCCACTGCTGATTTAAAAAAAGAAAAAAATTGTTTCTGAAATAAAATTTTTTTTTTTACAAATTCGTGTTTTTTATTTCAGAATACTGAAATATAGAATTCAGAAAATCAATTTTAAATTTAATTTCTGATAAAAATATTAACACAGCACTATTTTAAACTTTGTCCCCAGTGTTTCGCGTCATTCCCTCACAACAATGTTCTTATCACCTGCAATCTTCTTAGAATAAAAATATTTTAATAAAAACTTCAGAAGTTAACAACTGGCATCATAGAACAAAATTGCAGTATGTTTCCATCTTCAACTTAAAGAAGCTTTGCTGTGGAATAAATTTGAATGAATCAAACCAGGTAAAATTTTTTACATTTGTCATTCCCTCATGTCATTTTTTAGAGTAAAATAAAATACAACTTCATCGAGAAAGTGGATAATTATATGTTGCTTTCTTGTATGAATATAATTGTATGTGATTGACTTCAGAAATTAATTAGGCCTAACTGTTATTTTTAAATTTTATTGAATTCGTCATTCCCTCACTAGTGTATAAAGTGAGGGAATGACGCTGAAGTGAGGGAATGATTCAAGATGAGTATATTATTAAATTTTTTTTTGTTCAATCGTGCCAGCCAATTTTATTTCCCAAACCTGTAAAAACTATTAAATATATAAGACTAAATTATAATAAATATTAGATATACTTAGTATGTTATCATTTTCAAACTTTAGGTAGATGTAACTTAGATAAAAACATGTATTAAAATAAAATATCATTCCCTCACTATTAGTGTCATTCCCTCACTTTTTAAATAGTGAAAATAATTAATTTACTTATTAATTAATTTGAAAAATAAATTAAAAAATTAATAAATTAATTTATTAAATTAATTAATTTATTTATTAAATTAATTAATTAATTATTAATTATTATAAATTAATTAATTATAAATTAATTATTTAAAAAATTAATTAATTTAAATATTAAGTATAATTTATAGGATATATACTTTCTTTATAATGCCATTACATATTTCTATTAATATAAAAAGTTTCAGAGCTTTTTATTCACTTTACTTTTTCGGGATTTTATGAACTGAAAAATGACAGTTTTCGTGAGAATGACCCATATGATTATTATGAACTTAACTTTATGCTAACGATTGCTTATCACGTCATTAGATAAAAGTGTCATTAACGCAATATTATCCATTGTTTATTAATAATTTTGAGTGGAATGTAAAAAAATAGTTGTTCTAAAGTTTTATAATAAAATGTTTGTTTTGATAGAACGCAGTTATTTATTTTAGAATTCCAATATATTTTAATAGCTCTGATAAATCGAGTAGAGTTATTAGAAGCACGAATCATCACTCTCTCAAAAAACTATTTACATTCCGAATTATCAAAGTATATTGAACAGAATTTACTTTAAAATACTTATATCTTTTATAAAAAATGGATCGCCATGAATATCTTAGATGATATCAACAGTGGCATAGAGCTGAACATGATTTAGCTGCATAAAATTAACTGGAAAATAATCGTAGTGCTATCCATACGCGACGGCGGAATGCGTGGCGAAGAAACGTTGAAAAGTCAAGACATTTAAATGAAAACGAATACCTTGGTATACTTACGAATACTTCTGATTGAAACTAAAATATTTTGTCAGTTGACAGTATTGAAGTTAATTGAGCAATTACTTGCAATGGTATTAGCTTTTGAAATATTACTTAGAATCAACTTATTAATATTACATGTTTTAATTTGTTTGTAATTTTTGTAAAGCTTTTTTTTCGTAAGGTTTTAATTGTTTTTAGTTTAAAATTTAAATTACTGGGGGGGGGGAGATAAAGCACCATATAGGGAGCGTCCGGCATCCTTTTAGATCAACAATGATTTGAGTTAGGCTCTACCACGCGTGCTTCGGATACGGAGATAAATCTTCAGCTAATGCCCTATAGTAATGTGTTAAATAATATTGCTTCCTCTCTTTATATATGTTTATAATATTGTTTGTATTGAAATGGCTTTATATAAGTTTATAATGTTGAAAATAAGTTCCTCTGACATTTTATAATCCTATCATATTCTCTCTATGTGATGTTGGTGCAGAAAAATTACCAGCTAATCTCCAGGAAAACGACTTTAAGTTTATTCGCGAAGCGAACGAAAATGTAATTGCGTAGCAATTATCGGGGGTTGGCGAGCGGTAGTGAGCAGGGGTGGAGCCCTCCAGTATAATATAAGAAGAGAGTGAAATGATAACAAATAGCCAATCACAGAACACTTGCTGTTAGTAACGCACAAAAGAGCCAATTAAAATTAGGAACGCATGTGCGTGAAAAGGTAAAATTTTTTAGTAATGCTGCTTGCTAAAATTTTACAACTAAACTTACCATTTAAAGCTGAGTAGATCCAGTTTTTTCTCATTCATTTCAACATTGTTTTGGTTGTCATCAGCATAAAATTAACAAAAGTCGTAAAGGTATTGTTTTTCCTTAAATATTTTTGTATCCCTAACTTAAAGTTATTTTCCAGTACTGCTATGATTGGCGAAAATATTAAAGTATGGTTGTAAACTCATCAAATTTGTTTGAACAATATAATGTTATAAGAATATAAATGTTATTTTAAAAAATGATTACTTCGAAAAATCACTTCTGTTCATTTCTGTTCTGTTCAATTGTTTATAATACTAACAGATAGTAATATTTGGACGTGGGTAGTAGAGGCACAAAGCAAGCAAACAGAATTTCTTTAAGTATGTTCATGTTAAGTGAATAATTTTAACTTTATATATATATATATATATATATATATATATATATACACGAGTTTACTCGAGAT